CCCTGCACGATGTCTGTGTGTGATGTGTCTGTGTGTGATGTGTCTGTGTGTGATGTGTCTGTGTGTGATGTGTCTATGATGTGTCTGTGTGTGATGTGTGTGTGTGTGATGTGTCTGTGTGTGATGCGTCTGTGTGTGATGTGTCTATGTGTGATGTGTCTATGTGTGATGTGTCTGTGTGTGATGTGTCTGTGTTTGATGTGTCTGTGTGTGATGTGTCTGTGTATGATGTGTCTGTGTTTGATGTGTCTGTGTGTGATGTGTCTATGTGTGATGTGTCTGTGTGTGATGTGTCTGTGTGTGATGTGTCTATGTGTGATGTGTGTGATGTGTCTGTGTTTGATGTGTCTGTGTGCGATGTGTCTGTGTGCGATGTGTCTGTGTGCGATGTGTCTGTGTGCGATGTGTCTGTGTGTGATGTGTCTGTGTGTGATGTGTCTGTGTTTGATGTGTCTGTGTGTGATGTGTCTGTGTATGATGTGTCTGTGTTTGATGTGTCTGTGTGTGATGTGTCTGTGTGTGATGTGTCTGTGTGTGATGTGTCTGTGTGTGATGTGTCTATGACTTGACGGTGTCATTTACGCAGCGCGTGAGGTTTCAGGATCCGTGGTCGAACTCATGGCGCCCTTGCTGCTGCTGCTGCTACTGCTGCTGCTACTGCTGCTGCTGTCTCTCTGCTACTGCTGCTGCCTCTGCTGCTGCTACTGCTGCTGTATCTCTCTACTGCTGCTACCTCTGCTGCTGTTACTGCTGCTGCTGCCTCTCACAGCTGCTCCTGTTACTGCTGCTGCTGCTGTTGTCCCTCTGTGCAGCTGCTATTTTCGCTGCTGTTGCTGCTGCTGCTGCCACGGCGTCTGGACGTCCGCTAATTGCGCGCTGCGTCGCGACGTCGTCACATCTCGTCCCGCGTTCTCTTGTTTGTCAGTGAGAAAGAGCTGCATGGCTCATCGGATTCCTCCAGTGTCAATACATCTGCTTGTGATGCGAGCGCTGGTGTCAAACGCAAGCCCCGTGGCCGGGCTCCGTTTGCTCCACAGCCACACCGAGCGTCGTCATCATCATCATCAGCAGCATCATCATCCTGAGCATCATCATCATCATCATCCTGAGCATCATCATCATCATCCTGAGCATCATCATCATCATCCTGAGCATCATCATCATCATCATCATCATCCTGAGCATCATCATCATCCTGAGCATCATCATCATCCTGAGCATCATCATCATCAGCAGCATTATCATCATCATCCTGAGCATCATCATCATCATCCTGAGCATCATCATCATCAGCATCATCATCATCATCATCCTGAGCATCATCATCATCATCATCCTGAGCATCATCATCATCATCCTGAGCATCATCATCATCAGCATCATCATCATCATCATCCTGAGCATCATCATCATCATCATCCTGAGCATCATCATCATCAGCATCATCATCATCATCATCCTGAGCATCATCATCATCATCATCCTGAGCATCATCATCATCAGCATCATCATCATCATCATCCTGAGCATCATCATCATCATCCTGAGCATCATCATCATCATCATCCTGAGCATCATCATCATCCTGAGCATCATCATCATCAGCAGCATTATCATCATCCTGAGCATCATCATCATCATCATCATCCTGAGCATCATCATCATCATCATCCTGAGCATAATCATCATCAGCATCATCATCATCATCATCCTGAGCATCATCATCCTGAGCATCATCATCATCATCATCCTGAGCATCATCATCATCAGCATCATCATCATCATCATCCTGAGCATCATCATCATCATCATCCTGAGCATCATCATCAGCATCATCCTGAGCATCATCATCATCATCATCCTGAGCATCATCATCATCATCCTGAGCATCATCATCATCATCCTGAGCATCATCATCATCATCCTGAGCATCATCATCAGCATCATCATCCTGAGCATCATCATCATCAGCAGCATCATCATCATCATCCTGAGCATCATCATCATCATCATAATCCTGAGCATCATCATCATCAGCATCATCATCATCATCCTGAGCATCATCATCATCATCAGCAGCATCATCATCATCATCCTGAGCATCATCATCATCATCATCATCCTGAGCATCATCATCAGCATCATCATCATCCTGAGCATCATCATCATCAGTATCATCATCATCAGCATCATCTTCATGAGCATCATCAGCAGCAGCTGCCGTGATTTCATCCACTGCCGGGATGAAGACCGCCCTAAAGCCGCGTCCTCTCACCATTGTTGGGGTGCAACAATCCATCTCTGGAAACCTGCACACGAACGTGATTCCATCGCTCCATCTCCTCGGTGTACGCTACCCCCTCTCGGACGCGTTCGGTTCCTTGGCTGAACATGCGGATTGATAATTTGCTCTGCAAAGCCTTCGTCAGTCCACTGCTGGATGATGATGATGAAGGCCTCCGCCACGCCGTGTCGGTGATGGGGGGGCGGAGTTGTTTGGCCATACTTCACCACACTGGTGAGTGGGGGTTTTGGTGAAGGCGAGCGGGGAGCATAGACGCGCGAGAGCATATAAGTACGGTACAACGATGGATATTGCTGGGCTACCCACAGCGTCGCCCTCCCAGGGTGGACAACCTCCTCGTGTGTGGTGATCAATCGCGCAAGGCAACATCCAGGCTGGGGGAGCCGCGTAGATTCGTTTGCTGCCCCCAGACCGACCCCACGCCTCGATCTTCGTCGGCCGCACGGCCAACGAGCGCGACGCAGCAGCGCGCGTGCAATTAAAACGCAATGGCCCTCGAGAGCACGTGTGTGCATATATATAGTTATATTTATTTACAATGCAATTATGGACAAATGACTCGGAGAGTTGTATCACGCGACCACCGATCGATCGTTCGAGAAGAGAGGAGGGAGGGGGGAGGGAAGGGAAACAAAGAGAAATAAGCTTAAAAGTAAGCACCGGTTAAGATATTTACACTCGCGACACACGCGCGGGTCACGCCCGCCCGCCCCCCCTACACGCTGCACGGGCTGGAGTTGAAGCGACTGTTCACGATCCTGCTCCTGCTGCTGATGCTGCTGATGCTGTTGCGTCTGTTTCAACAACAACAATGTGCAGCGTCTCCTTTTCAGCGGCGAGAAACAGAAAAAAAACCAGAAAAGAGAAGACGCCTCCTCTGCCTACTTTCATCCACGGAGATTTATTGATTTAAACACAGAACTTTACGGCAATAATTTAGGACCCAAACCGTGTTCGGAGTTCGAGAGTCATTCTCTCAAGTCTCTGTGCCCCTTCTTACTCCACCCGCACCAACCACAGCGCCCTTCCCACCCACCCCCCATCCCCCCAAAAATAATAAACTAAAATAATAACAACAATAAAAACATCATGAGATTGCAATGTTCACAGTGAATCTTTGTTTCGCTCTACCCATTTGTACGGCTGAACTTTGTTTTTTAAACTTCTTCTTCTTGTTGTTGTTGTTAAAGTGACAAGAAAACACCGTGACAGCACCGGCAGCACGACAGCGACGCAGCTCCTCCTCTCGGCGTGACGTCAAAACCGTGAGCGTGACGTCAAGATTGTGACGTCAGGACCGTGAGCGTGACGTCAAGACTGTGACGTCAAGAGCGTGAGCGTGTCGTCAAGACGGTGAACGTGACGTCAAGACCGTGCACGTGACGTCAAGACGGTGACGTCAAGACGATGAATGTGACGTCAGGACCGTGACGTCAAGACGGTGAACGTGACGTCAAGACCATGAGCGTGACGTCAACACTGTGACGTCAGGACTGTGTACGTGACGGTCGCCGGCATGGCACGGTTCCGTCCACGACCGACGACGAGAGGGGTCCCCCCCCGCGTCCCCCGTGCCCGCACCGTGACGCAGCCACGGCCACGTTCCCTCCTCGTCTGTCCACAACCTCCTTCGCAGCCGCCTCTCTCCATCTCGCCCTTCCTCGCCTCTTCATGTTGTCGCTTGAGTTATAGATATAGAGACCCCCGCCCCCCCCCCCCCCCCCCCGTCTTGCGATGAGCGCACTTTTGTTTTGTTCAGAATGCGAACCTCAACGTACACCACACAGCACCACACACACACACAGACACGGCTCCTTCTCTCGTGGCTACGATACACGCCGATGGGCTGCGTGTTCACGAGCCGTGTCCCCGCACTCCGCCACGCCAAGCGTGTGGAGCTTCCTTAATGAGAGGCATTCAGAGAGGTGGCGGGGGGCGGGCGGGGGGTCACGGCTTCCAAAGCGCTCCCCCGTGACACCGCGGGAGTGACGGATCACGGATGGCGCAGGGCAGTCAGACTCGCGTGCGGCTCAAAGGTTCGCGTTCAAATATCGGTCGGGGGTCTCATCAGCGGAGCTTCAAACACCGCCGGCCCGGGCAGGTGGAGGGGGAGACTCGGGATGGAGGACGATGCCGTCCTTTGACAGTCATGGGACTCGGGGTTTTGTCTTCACGACACATTTGTCGCATTGAAGTTTGAACCAAGTCACTGTTGCTTGCTTTCTTTCTTTTTGATCGAGTGTTTCGGGTATCATGCTCTGTTCCAGATCTTCTCGGTGCTATAGTCATTGCGTGGCTTGTCTGTCTGTGCAACCAATTACAACCTCGTCAATAATCTCCCTCGACTAGCTCCTACCGACCCTCCTCCTCGACCATCTCTCACCTCCTTCTTCTTCTCGTGCCAACGTACCAGCAGCTCCATCTGTCCATCTGTCCGTGTCGTGCGTGCGTGTGTATATACTATAGAGTAGAGGGCAGGCCATCCTACGAACGGGGCGAATCTTCTTCTTTGTCGGCTCCAACCCCTCCACGCGTCCCAACGCCCTGCGCACGCAACCTGGAAAGTTTTCACCTCGCCTCGTTTTCCACCCCCCACCCAGGAGTTCATCTCGTGGCGAGTCTCGAGGCAAGTCCACCGGACACACGAACCCCCCCCCCCCCCCGAAAAAAAACTATAAATATTGAAGCGCTCTGTGTTGCGCAACGACGCTGACGCTTCCATCTGCAACGGCGACCGCGCGAGATGCCCCCCCCCCCTCCCTCTCAGTCGTCGGAGGTGACATCGATGTCCTCTGAGCTCGGCTGCTTCGTGGCCATGCGCCACCGGTTCACGTGATGCGTGCCCTTCTTCTTCTGCTGCTCGTCGGGTCCCTCCTCCTCCAGCTTCTGCCGCTTGTGTTTCGTCCTCCTGTTCTGGAACCAGACTTTGACCTGCGGAGAGGCGTGGGGGAGGGGGGTAACAAGTGAGAGAGAAAGAAAAAGCAAGGTTAAGGGCGGATGTCTCTGCATTGCGTGGGCCGCATAGACAAGGGGTCGGGAACAAATATAACAAAAATATGTTTTTTTTCTCGAATTTGGTGAACAAAAATAACTCAATATTTCAAGAACCGCAATGCCATGTGAAGACGAGACGGTGGGCCCTTAATAAATAACTGTCACCAAGCCGTCCTTGAAGAGCCGCATAAGGCTACGAAGCCACAGGTTTCCGGCTCCTGCCCATGCTAAACTGAACTTCCATAGTAAACTGGACTTCCATTGTAAACTGAACTTCCATAGTAAACTAAACTCCTATGATAAACTGAAGGGCCATTGCCTGAACCGTCGGGCTATTATATTCATACGCTAGTGTTATTGAGGAATATGTTGAGTTTGTTTTATGTCATTTGCAAGAGTGTCCAAGTGTAAAAAAAAAAAAAATCGCGACGAAGGTGGGATTCGAACCCACGCGTGCAGAGCACAATGGATTAGCAGTCCATCGCCTTAACCACTCGGCCACCTCGTCTCACGCACTCACACACGCAAGCATATTCAACCAGAACCAGGATGAAGACTTGCACGCACATACATACAGTCATACCAGAATATTGGGGCAAGTTCTATTCGCGAGCACCTATTAAGGCTGGAGCGGCACACGAGAGGCTGGGTGGCCAGCACCACGCCCGGCCGTCTTTGTCTCCCCAGTGGCGAAGTTTACACATTGCACCAGGTACTCATTTGAGGCCGAGTCGAGCTAAGGGAGGCCCAGGACCGGTTCAGACAATCGTCACTGACGTTGGCCGTGAGCGGGAATCGAATTCGGGATGCGGGATTCGCAGTACAACACGCTAACCACTGCGCCACCGCTCCCCATACAATACAACAACTGCCGTTCGCCACAAAGTGGTGGTGACGCAACCACTGCGCTTGTGCCAGGCTAGGTACACACACGGACACGCAGTCGGAGGCACACAAACACGTATACGGTGAAAATATATATCCGGTATTACGTGCATGTTATGATATGTCGCAATTTACAACACGATGCGACGATTCATGCTTAAATTCGAACTTGACTATTCTGTACAATGAGTCCTTCTGAGACTCGTGGCTCGTATACGTATAGCCTGAGCGAGAGAGGCAGTTTTGTATCCACCCCTCGAGGCTTTGTTCGCCAAGTTTCAACGCTGCGCGGCTGCAAAGGGGGAGACCGGCACTCCCACGGCGACCTTGGCACGTGCACTCCCACGTGGTTGAAAAAACAAATGGATGATTCGTTGACTGCATTACAGTTCGGTAAGTGCTCGCTTAACGCGGGTTCACACGACGCGTTCTCGCTTTAACGCGGCCCTTCCGTGAGAGGACGATTTTCGCACGACGCGGAAAGAGCCCCGTTATAACGCAGAACGCGACCCGTTATAACGTGGAACGCGCCCCTTATAACGCGGTTTCAGGAGCGGCCGACAAGATGCAGTATGCCTCACGATACATTCGCGCAGAGGCGGCGGCGAGCACCTCATTTATTTATTCCGCCATCTGCCTGTGCGTGTGTGCGTACATCGTATCTCGCTGAACTTTATCGTTACATTCAGGGCCATCTCCCCAATAGCCCCCCACCACCACCACCACCAACGCCCTTTCACAGCCACAGGCGCCGTCCCCTGGCTCGCTGCCGTCTCCCGCGATAATGAGGCCTGCAGGTAATTAAAAAAAAAAACCTTAAAGACCCTCGGCCCAATTATCGGCATCCACGCATTTTGTTTCGGCGTCTTGCTTACTGTAGTCGCAGGAGTCGTCGTCGTCCTAGTGAGGTCATCCAATTCTCAGGTGTATTATCTAACCCGCTTCGTCCGGAGTTGTGTTATTTTAAAACAAAGTCGACGGATTGTGCGAACATTTTTTCGAGTCGTTGTAACATTTGCCGCTCGTTGTAGCGCCTCCAGTGGCCGCGGGGTTCGCGCGAGTTCATTGGCACAGCCTTAGACGACGACGAGTCGATACTAATAATAGTTTGATAGATTCATTCTCACGAATAATGTCGGGGGCTCAATTCACGCTCGCGTATTGGACGAACGCCTCGTGAGCAGTGTCGGATTAAGCTAGTGCGGGGCCTGTAGCAGATGTTACAAAGGGGCCCTAAATAAAAACACGCAAATATCAAAACATTAATTTTTAACTTGCATAGTAAAGTAATTGTATGTTTTCATTTGCTATACAGCCGGATAATACGACAAATCGCTAACCTTAAACACCCAGTCGTTCATAAAAGTTGAAGGGCGGTATAGTACTATAGTAATAGAGCAAGTGCAGAATCACTGAACCGTAATTGAAAACGTGAAAGCATTTAGCGCGGGGCCCTTGAAAGTGCGGGGCTCGTAGCTACTACACGTGTAGCTACTACACGTGTGCTACTGGGATCATCTGGCACTGCTCGCGAGCGAGGTAAACGTGCGCGGAACGGAACGCGTTTTAGAGGGCTTGCAGCGTGAGAGACGGAGCGGTGAAATCGGTTAATATTGCTCGATGGTGGATTGCATCCCAGGATGGTGAGAGGAGGAGGAGGCGGCGGTAGCGGCCTTCATCCAGCATGGCTGATGATGATTCTAGTGATAATGACCATACACGTGTACATAAGATGCATTGCCATGCATTGTTATGCAATGATCCTTGGATCAATGTACATTGTGTAATTCGTTGTAATGCAATGGACCTTGGATTTGCCTACATGCGTAATGCATTGCGATGCATTGTAACGCAATGAATTTTGGATGTATGTACGTGTGCATGAACCCAAGGTTAGTTGCATTGTAACAGTCGACAAGATCCGTTGGCAACCGCGCTAAGCATCGCAGCGGCAGCAGCTACTCTCTTGCGATTTAACAAACGCGGGTTCTTAGCTCGTGCGACGGAGTCAGCGAGTTGGCCTTCGGGGCCTGTGTTATTATTACCCGCACTTCGAGACACATAGGGAGAGAGAGAGACAGAGCAAGAGAAAAAAAGGGAATTAAACTTTTGCTGTTAAGACGCAAACAATCGCGACCGACAATGCCGCTGGATACGTCTCGCTCGCGCCGTCTGCACGAGCGACGCGTGACACGCGCGCAACGCCGAGTCTTATGACGCTAATCAACACTCGCGCGTGCTATTATTCTATGACCTCCCCCCCCCCCCCCAGACGCTACCCTTCCTTCCCCCAGCACAGACTTTTTGATTTATGCAGGAAGATAAGGAAGGGCGAACATGCTTTTTAAATGTATTTACTTACTCACTTGCTTTATTGTCCATAATGTTCGACCACACGGTGTCTACTGATATTTGTGTTAAACGTAACACCACGTGTCATGGTTTTTTTTTTTTGGGGGGGGGGGGTCGCGTAAGTCAACTGTGTGTCGTAAACCCTCCTCCAACTCCGACACGACGATTAATAAAGTTGACAATGTGAAAAAACGTGGCCATCATAACATTGGTGGCGAACGTCCGCGCGTTAACTTTTGACAGTGCAGTGTTGGTCTAGCATTGCCTGGGGGTGATCGACGTTGCACGGGGCTTGTCACGGCCCCGAATGAAGCTTCAAATTCACCCAGCGCGTGCAGCGAAATTTGGACCAACACCCGGGTGCAAGGCGATATTGTTTCACTCATTGCGATGAAGAGGAACAGCGTCGCTTGGTGAGAGTGATCTCACTAAGAACATCTGGCCAATCAGCATTGGTCGCTTAACAGGCCCGAATCTGCTGATGAGACCCAACAAAGGCAAAACTGGGCGCATAGTTTGCTAGCTCAAACAAATGCTGCTGACCAATTAAGTAAAACATATGTGATCAAATAAAATATATGCTGAGATATAGTGACACATATGCCATATTAATGCGTGGAGTTATTTTTGTAATAGACGATCGTGAGTGATGTGGTTGATATATAACTAATAATGTTCTGGAGGGGCTAGAAAGCTGACACTTGCCACAAATATAAAGTACATATTTGGAATAAGAAAATGTTTGTAAATGATATTTTCGAACTTGCCCTTCTAGCACTTACGGTGGGTGGATTAATGTCACTCATCGGGCAGGGTCAGTCAGCCTAAGCGTTCCACATTACTTCAACTCAAGTGTTAAACACTTAGGCCGGAATCAGATAACCAAGCAAATGAATTGGTGATGCTGCTGCTGCTGCGTTGGCAGTGGTGCTCAAGCACAATTAACAACAACAACTTAACACACTCGTCAACAAACTGTCTTGAAAAGAAATGTTATTTACAATCGGCGACGTTTCAGACAATAACCCTTCCAAATAATCCAACAGGCAATGGCCTCCCTCTTCCTCACAGCATTAACAGGCAAAGAGCCATTGCTCGAAACGTCGGTGATTTTTTTATTTTTTTTATTTTACGACCACTGTTCGTTATCCAGTGGAGTGTGACGCTATAGCCGATAAAAAGTGGGCTAAGCTCACTCCGCGGTTGCTATCGTGTTACTCTCTGCGTACTGGAAAAGGCGTACTGCGTTTTCTTTGTAAAGCTGATGCTCACCAATCTTCAACATCATTCGCAAAAATCATTATCTAGAGTGTATATATAGGCTACATCGCACCCCAAAAACTACCTAGCAGTTTGGATTTAAAATACTGTCTATATACAACACATTTTCTGCTATGAATAAGGGCCATCGCCTGAAACGTCGAGTATTATATATCTCTTTTAGGGCAGTGCTATTGACGAATGTGTCACAAATCACAAAATGCTTGATCGCACAGCAACGCGTCGATCGGATGGATCGTGGCCGGTGGTCGAGACTAGCGATGGAGTTGCAGCCAAAGTATGGAAGGACACGTGGGATGGGACTACGCCGCTGAGATGGAGCGACGGTTCCATTGATCGGCTGGAGGCATCGTTGCATCGCAGGGCCGTCAAGAATTGGATGGCGCGACGATTTGGTGGGAGGGAGGCCTTCATCCAGC